AGAACAGGGAGAACATATCTTATGGGATTTAAACAGAAGCAGAAGATGTAATCCCACCAACAGCCTACTGTCCTCACAGCAGGTGCCTGTTAGTCAGGTAGACATTCCCCTGAGTAGGCACTTTATCCTGGCTTTTGAAAGGCCCTTGGAGTCTCAGCAAATCTACTCCCACACCTGGTGATCCTCACATACATGAGAGTCTGGGACATGCTGAGACCACAGAGGGCCTGGGCCGGGTATCAGCAGTGGTGGGTCCCCTGGCTGTGTAAGTGTCAGCTGATAAAACTCAGCGAGGCACATCCCAGAGCTCAGGGAGGCACATCCCCGAGCTCTCTGAGAGTGAATCTGACGTTGTTCCTCATCTTCTAACTCAGGCTTCTTTGCCTTTTCCATCAGTGTTAACGCCACCTGAGGTAGGTACCAGGAGCGACCCGTGGATTTCCTCCTCCCTCTTGTCCCCCATGGCTAATCTCCCTGCAGAGTCTGCCTGCTCTTGTTCTTTCCTTTTTTGCATCTGTCTTTCCCATGTCCTCTCTCAGGCTAGAAGCTAGGATCGCTTTTTCTACTTTAATCACAAATTAATATGAGGGTACATTGTTTTCATTTCCAAGGTAAAGTTCAAGTCAAGTTGAACTTCATCTGGGGGGGGGGGCGAGCTGAACACCCTCACATTGTGCACATTGTGTGAAATCATCAGTTGACCCCCCCCCCCGTCCCCTCTCCTTTCTCCTAACTAGCTATATTTGTGTTTTTTCTTTCCTGTGGGCATGTAGTTGTTTATATATTGGTTTCATATTAGTATTGAGTACCTTGGATATTTTTTCCTCATTCTTGAGATAGTTATGAAGAAGAATGTGTTTCAACTCCATCCAGGTAAACAGAAAAGACATAAAGTCTGCATTTTCCCTTGTGGCTGAATGTACTCTGTGGTATACGCATACGACAGTCTGTTTATCCATTCACGGGTTGACGGGCACCAGGTTTGCTTCTGCATCTTGGCAATGGTAAATTGAGCTGCAATAAACATTCTGGTGCAAATGTAGGATTGCTTTTTTGCTTCAGCACTGGGCCTTCCTCAGGATGCACTCCTGGTCAGTCTGAGAGAGAAGGTGAATCTCAACTTGTTTCATTCTCAGCCTCTCTTGCTTGTATACTAAGATATGCCCCAAACTAGAGCTTCAATTTTATAGGAATTTGGCAAAGTATCACTTCCAGGTCTCCAGAGAATCTGTTCACTCTGAATACAAACTTCCAGAATTTCAGAATTCGATTTAAGAATGATAAAGGAAGCTGTTTTCAAGCCATGCAGATGATGTGCTGTCACCTGACTGTGGAGGTGAAGACGGGCGTAGTGGCCGGGAGGGGGACTCAGGGCTTCCTCTAGGATGCCCACAGCCGTCCATTACCCTGATAGTGGGGTCGCTGCACATTGCTGTTTTCTATACTTTCCAATGTGTGCGTTATTTCACAATAGAAGAGATTTAAGAATGATTTTGTGAGAGATCAGTTTTATGTGCTTTTACTTTTCTTATTATTCAACTATGGTGGACCAAATGTAATATTTCTAATATTATTTCTTTCTTTCTTTTCTTTTCTATTTATTTGCATTAAGGGAGGAATAGAAGCTCCATTCCAAAATGCTTCCTATTTCTCCCCTTCCTGAAGTATTAATTACACGATGGATTGCATCTACTGAGCTTACTGGGTCTCAGGTGATGTGCTGACTGTACAGTCATCGTGGCAGGAATCACCAGCACGGCCTCAGGAGGCAGGCGCTATTGTTTTTCATGTTTTGCAGACAAGGTTTAGAGGGATTGAATTATCTCAACCCAGATAAGATGCATGTGGTAGAGTATGGATTCATCCTGTAATGATCCTCTTACAGGTCCTTATCACTCATCTTTTGGGGAACTTGTCTGAAAGATCTTCTGGGTTATGCAGAGCTGTTTTCAGCCCAGTATTTAGAATGTTGTGGTGGGCACCATCTGCCCCTCACTCAGTGGATACATTTCAGGAGTAACTTGGCTTAGAAAGGAATTAACTTTTAGCTAGACTAGGACATGAAGCCATAATCAGAAAATTAGTTCTCCTTCCTTTCTATTTTTTTGAAAATTGTCCCAAAGCATGTTTCCTCCTCAGTGTCCCCAGGAAAATGGGCCAGAGAAAAACTTTGGTTCAAGGAAGCTGAGCCATGGAGGAGCCTGCAGGAGGGTCTCTGGGATAAGAGGATATGATGGTTCCTAAGTGCCATGGAATGACCCTGTGGTTATAGCTACTCTGGGAATTGAGATGGGAAGATGAACTTGAACCCAGTAGTTCAAGGCCAACCTGGGGAACATGATGAGACCCCTTCTCTTAAAAAAAAAATAAAAAAAAGAAGCATATGATGGGCTTCCCTATTTCTTCCCAGCCTCTTTCAGGCAAAATCAAAGAAGCTGTGAAGGCGGCCATTGATGCAGGGTATCGCCACTTTGATTGTGCCTACTTCTATCAGAATGAGAACGAGGTGGGGGAAGCCATCCAAGAGAAGATCCAAGAGAAGGTTGTGAGGCGGGAGGACCTCTTCATTGTTAGCAAGGTATAGGTGGCTGTTGGCGGACTTACCAACAGGCAGGCAGAAGTATGTGTATTGGGTCAGCCATAAGACCCCCGTGGGCCTCCTCTGTGTGGAGGGATTCCAGCCCTCTTCCTCTCTGCCTGTGTAACAACCAAGACGTCCTCATCACAGACCAGTATTGGGGCTGGAGGTGCTGCTGTCCCACCTCCTGCCTGTCGTTTGGTTTCCCGCAGTTACTCAGAGTCCAGTTATTCAGAAACCTAAATAAGCCCCCCTTTTCCCTGACTGTGGGATCCATCCACCCAGGGGCAGTCAGAGGTGGAAGATGGAGGCTGACCCTGCTGTCCACCTCTGTGGTCTCAATGTCTGTGGCCCTTAGCTCTCAGCCAGGGGGTATTGTGAAAAACAGTGGGGCCTTTTTTATAGTGACATATGAATTCCTTTTTATTTTAGTGTAGTAAAAGGTGAATTATAAAACGTTATAAAGAAAGAAGTGGCTCTTGGGAGCAAGGAGGTTGAAAATCACTGGCTCTGTATAATACACAACTTGCCAAAAACCACTAGTCATAGGTACTCAGGAAACACA